GGGGACAAAGAAACAGAAACATTGGTGTGAGAGAGACACATCGATTGGCTGCCTCCTCCTGCAAGCGCCCTGACTGGGAATAGAACCTGCGACCCTTTGGAGGTGTAGGGGCTGACGCTCTAACCACTGAGCACACAGGCCAGGGCCAGTCTACGGTATTCTTTAGAACAAACAGCTTGGGGCTGGGGGACAGTGGGAATTTGTGACTATATGGCACTTTATCAACTCTAGGAAAGTTTAAGATAAGCACTGCTTAAGGGACTATAACGCCATGTAGTCAGCAAAATGAGCAGCACTGTAGTCCATACCTTCCTGCCGGCTCTGTTGTTGTGCAGATTCATCAAGGCTCTGGCATCCTTGCCTTTCCTTTCCTTGGCATCCACAAATGCTCGAGCAAATTTGATCCCATAGTCAATGTTATCACTGCAGCCACCCCAGTCGAAGGTGCCCTTGCTGTCCTTGGCGCTTCCCTTCTTCTTTGGATCACAGGAACAGGATTTTAATTCTCCTTGGCTACAGGCCCTGGTGATGGCAAATACAACTCCAGCTGAGGAGATGGCATAAACAAAGGCAGATTCCCGACTACCTGAAACAAAAATGCTCTTCTTAAAAGTGGTCTGGAGTTGCTTTCTCTGAATAACTTTTAGATGATGGCTAGTTAACACTTGTTCTGCCTCTAACATACTTCAACACTAGACAAAAAGGTACTGGCATTCTTGAAGGATTCTTTTCTAGAGCCAAAGCTTTCTTTAATATGAATCATCACCATCTAATGTAAGCTGTTATCAATTTAGATACCAGTATGACAACTATTCTTAATGTAAACAGTAAAAAAGAAAGTGCAGCAAAAGCCTGCCTTGCCCAGCTCCTGACTTCACGTTGGTCTCATACACATGCTTGCTTAACCTAGAATCCTACATGTTCTAGAAGAGAGCATAACATTTTTGTTTTTCATCTGTAACATATAGTCTGAATTCTACAATTCTATCATTCCATAATATATTTTGGTATTCATTATACAACATGAATAAAATCTTGGAAAAAACCTCCCAAGCCTCCAGGCATTACTGAAGACACTCATATGCATTTAAATGATAGAGACTGAAATACTGAATTAAAAAAAAATCTAAGGGCTGAGGTGGGAAGAGAATTCAAGGCAGTGAGCAGCCCCCTGTGCTAACACTGGAGAGCTCTGGCTTGGCATTAACTTTCACAAGTAATTGGGAGACTGTTGAAGGCAAATGCAATATCCTACAGTTACATACTACGTCTAACTATTAAGGTGAATTAACTTTCTTCTGGAACACCTGCACTAATCACTGGTATTGGGTAAAAGACAGTGAAAAGCTTTTCTTTGGTTTTTCTGGAAAGAAACAAATTTACCGCCTATAATTAGACTTGGGCAAGAACCCTTTGGGGTGATTTCTTAGAATTGTTCTTTATTAGCACACAGGCTACTTTTACTTACAGGCTGAAAGGTACATATTTCAGTGCAATAACTACATTAAATTATTTTAATAATCTGTAGTAACTCATAACACAGTGTTGGGGTACAGTGACAGATATAAGGCTCTTTAGGGTCTGTGTACACCTCATTTTTCAAGGGGAGCTGTATTTCATTGTTATTAGCATGCCTTTTTATTAATGGTTGCTGCAGCAAATATATTAACAATCAAAATACAGGCTGAACAGCCTCATGCCAATGCAAGGCAGAAAACAGAGCCATTTGGTGATTCAGTATGTCAAGACGAGTGTGACTTTTTGAACCACACAGCTGGGAGTACAAACCACCTTTCCACATCGGAGCCCTTGGTTCTGTTTGTCATTCAGTGCTAAAATTTATTAGATGCCCCTTGCAGTATTTGCTCTGCTAGTCTCATTATTAAAAATCAGGAAAACATATCTACACCATATTAAATGGCACTTACGTCAGTCTTCCAAAAATATCTCCCCCCGACCTCCAACCATCATAAGAAGAAATCAGTCATGCTCTGTAGTTAGGTAAAATCAATTATATGAATATTTGCTATAGGTAGCAGGTAGTGCTCTCCAGAGAGAAACGTGATGGTCGTGAAAACTGTTTTAAAGTGCCGGCTTATAAGGACCACAGATTTTCTAAGTGGAATTGAGATGTTTTGTAAAAAATGGTGACTAACAGATGTTAATGTGGTTTAATCTCAGGTGGTAGCTCTCAGATAAATGAGATTTTTATTATACCCATTTTACAGTTTAGGAAAATATCCTATCAGTAGTTACCCCACTGAGCTGCTAAAGCCTGGTTTTGGATTGGAGCTCAGTGTCCACATTTAGAAATATCACGTGGAGGGAAAACTCCCAAATGCTTAATGTACTTAGCACCAGTTTTATTTTTTAATGAGAAAGAAGAGAAATTTTATGAGGTGCTCTTTTAGGGGGGAATATGGACAATGTCAATGATAGACTGCCAGCAGCCAGACAGTATTTTGAAAGCAGAAGAGGAATAAATTGTCTAGCAAAGCATTCACCCTGGCTTCACATGCAAACAATTACACTGACCTATTGACTGAAAGGGAAAAACACCACTTAAAGTCTGCTACATTTCAGAAATAATTTCCAAAGCAAAAATACCTTTAGAATATTTGTCACGTATTATTCAAACGCATTACTAAATAGCTAGATGTTTATTTGTTTAAATAAATAATTTAGCACAGGAACTGACTTTTTGTTTTACCTCCAAATGTTTTGGTGTCATGTTAGATGGGCCTTACGGTGTTTTCAGGTAAGTGCCTTAGATGAACCACTAAAATGCTGTGTGAAATAGCACATTCCAAGAGCTGGCTTTCTAACCAAACAAATTTTGACCTTGGGACTCTTCTTAGAGAAACGGATTCTTTTTAAAGTCATCATAATATGAAACAATATCCAAACCTAAATAGTGATATTTAGACTTCCAGATGTGTTACTATTGAAGTTTCTCTAATTTTTGGATTGAGATAAGTCAAACAATGTCTACTAAGTGCATAGACGTAGTTTTTGTTCGCGGTGGGGGAGTGTTACCTGGTAGGGCAAAACACTAGAAGCTAGCTTTGCTGGAAAGTTATGGGTTCAATTCTCTTTTAAAATGCCTGCTTTTTAAAATTTAAAATTTAATTTTTTTACATTTACAAGGATGAGACCTAATCACCTTTTTAAGGCTTATTTAAGAATCCTAGAGGTATATTCTTGCAGGGATATTTATGGGTTTAAGTTTCTCAGCCTGTGACTGGTGATAGCCTGTTGAATGACTGAAATGCAAATGTTACTAAAAACCGTTATCTTGCTCTAAGCTGTATGAAGCAAAAGAGGCAAATGTTCTCCATTTCTCTCTGCCCCTGGGATGTGTTAGTAACTTTTATGTTCTCCCTATAAACAGCATTGCCCTTTGCCTTCCTAGCCATCTATAAGGGCATTTAGATTTCCAAAGGAAGTTCTTCACAATTCTTAGATGTGAATTCCCTCCAAGTAATTAATTATAAAAATCTTTGGTTAGATTTACTGGAATTTCATGGTTATTTCCAGGATAAGCTACCTTAGGCCAAATTCAGCCCTCCTAGAATCAATGCAAAACCTTCACTGACAGTCACAGGAGTTTACATAAATGTCCAGGAAGAAATCTGGCCTTCTATGAAGAATGGAAAGAAATTGTGTAGCTTGAGTGTTTTAAGTTTTGAGTACTTTGGCAAAGCATTCAAGCTTCATTTGAAAGAACTCTGAAGAAAATCTAAGTTAGAATCTCTTATTTACTTGAAGCCTTAGACTAAGTCAAACTAGTTCCAACCTCTTCCTTCTCGGCACTCTACAGCTCTGAAGAAACACACATCATCCAGATTAAGTTAAAGTATTTTATGAATGAATCCCCAGCTTTGGCAGACCTTGAGGATCAGTGGTTAAAATTACATTCTTTGACTTGTGATCTAAAGACTTTCTTCAATATAGAGACATCTTAAAGGATTTTCATAGACAGAATTTAGAGGTAATCATTTTATAAATGAGAAGGACATTTAATTTGTAATCATTGGAAAATGGTTGTGAGCATTTTGAAAAGGAAAAACCCTGATACATCTTAAACACTGAGAGCCTGTACATAATGTGTCCAAAGGTGTCTTGTGCTAAATATTTGCAAACTCTGACAAGTTCTGGCACTTTAACTGATTCACTAGTGAGCTAATCTAGGTGAAGTCTAAAAATTCCACGTTGCTGAAGTTTACTATTATCCAAATTTGCGATGTCATATCAAAACTCCAAAAGGAATGCAGAAGAATATAGTTCTTAAACTAGAGAATAAAATTGCAGAATATGGCAGTAAATTTACATCAGGGATACACTGAGAGTGAGCGCACTACCCCCTTGGGGGATTTCAGAGACATTCAGTTATGCATTTGGCCTCATAAAACCCTAGGGCTGTGATGATTACAAGATAGAAACACCCTCTGTTAAGCATTACCAAGTGCACAGCCTGGATGATTTTCTTAGGAATGGGGGGG